ATCCTGCAATTAACCTTTTCACGTACATACCAGTGACAAATGAAGTTCGTTGTTGATCTTGCGTCACAGTACTTTGTGTCACTTTTCTATTTATTTAAATTGCTTTTTGGGGGGGGGGTGTTTTGCGCCAATAAAAAACACTACCTTAATCCTTAAGGAGGCAGTAAAATATTAGTTCGGTAAAAAACCAAAACACTAAAGAAACAACAATAAACTAGGACTGAGGCTAATGGCTTAGGATTGAGAGGATTAAAACGATTTGCAAAGGACGAACCCAGAGAATTCAGAATAAATTTTTAAAATGCCCAAGCAATGACACTACTTTTTTAAATTATGTGTCGTAGCGCTTGGAGCTTGTAACAGACGCCGAGGCTTCTCAAGAGGAAGCAAAGCAAGTATTTATGCCGGCAAACGTTGTTAAGAATAGGTTCCCAAACGTTGTTCCACGTAAGTGTTGCCTTGTCTTCGTTTGCAGTTGTTTCCGAAACACTAAACTAGACTTTTATTTACTCCTGTGTTATTTCCTAGTTGAGTCCTAAAGCAAGTGTTGTCATTCAGGCATGACTTGTGTACTTTTCGATTTGTGCGCTATTCAAGCTGCCGGTCATCAATGGTTCTGCATCATTTTGTTAGTCGTTTAAGTCAGGTCATATCCTACAAGGGATTATGAAGTTGTACTGCGATGACTCAAACCGATAAAATGTTGTAGGTTGGAGTGATGACTAAAGTCACTGTGTTGTGTTTTGAGACAGCTTACGTAAACTTCACCCGAAAGTGACCCAAATAGGCGTGAAAGGAAGCTGTCCAAGGCATTGTTGGGCTTGGGATGTGGAGAAATATCTCTAGGATAACTAAAATGCGTAAAATTCGACATTTGTTTCCCCAAAACTCCATACCAAATGTCAGGTGCCGCCTCACATTGAATAGTGTTTCCAACCGAGACAATCTTTTTAACTTTTGTTGGGTATATTTTTGGTCTGCATAAATACCTTTACTTCTATAATTAAACACTCTTACTCGATTCTGTCCCAGTGGATAGCGCTCGAGTGCTCTTACAAGCTTCTTCACAAGACAAGAGTTACATCAATGCCTCATTCGTTGACGTAAGTGCAAAAATGACCTTTTTTTATTTGGTTATGGTATATTCTGTAATTCCAACATTTTGATCAGAAAAGACTCAGA